TATGCTGAAGAGGAAATGCCCTTGAAATGGGTGTTCCAACAAGACAAGACCCCAAACACACCAGTAAATGTGCAACATCTTGGTTCTAGACCAACAACATTGACGTTATGGAGTGGCTAGCCCAATCCCCGGATCTTAATCCAATAGAAAACTTGTGCGGTGACATCAAAAATGCAGATTCTGAGGCAAAACCAAGAAATAGAGAAGAACTCTGGAATGTAGTCCAATCATCCTGAGCTGGAATACCTGTTCACAGGTGCCAGAAGTTGGTTGACTCCATGCAACACAGATGTACAGCAGTTCTCAGAAACAGTGATTATACAACGAAATATTCATTAAGTGATTCAAAGGAAAGCAAAATCTTCAAACATTTTTCAGTTTATATAGTGAATGTTTGAGTTTGTAAAGAATACAAACACTGCTATTTTTTTGAACAGTCTAATATTCACTTTTCTTCAAATTTTTTAGAGGAACAACACAAATTTGATATATTTTTCTTCATGTTTTGATTTGGAATAGAATGTGTAGTGTTCCCAATGCATTTGTGTGTATGGAAATAAAAGCTATTAGAAGGATTTTGAGCTTTATTCACTTTTTTCAACACACTGCTATTATTTTAAACACAACTGTATGTGGCTTCTCGGCGGGTGGGCCTTAACAACAAGAGGCTGCATATATGTGTACCCAAAAAAAAACAGAACAGTACCGACAGTTACCAGCGGCTAATGTAAAGATCCCAATCTGTATTTGCAATTGGGAGCTTTCAGATTATGTAACCGCTCTGTCAGCCAACCCTGCCCCTCCTCCTGGCATCTAAAGCCCCTTAAAGGGCCAGGAGGCGCTGGTGCAAAGGGGTTAATCACCACTGGATTTTATATTTTTTAAATTTAAAAAAAAAACACGTTTTTCTTCATTTCTGTTGTTAAAGTTTGCAAACAAAAAAGCTTTCTTCATAAATTTAGGCCAAGATGTATTCTGCTACATTTTTTGGTAAAAATAACCCAAATCAGTGTATATTATTTGGTCAGTGTGAAAGTTATAGGGTCTACAAACTATGGTATACATAATTGAAAATTGGTCAATCCTGATGACCTATCTAATTTCTTGAGGCCCTAAAACACCAGGACTGTACAAATACCCCCCCCCCCCCCCCAATGACCCCTTTTTGCAAATTAGACAGACCAAGATATTTAGTAGGAGGCATGACGAGTTTTTAAAGCTATCATTTTTTTGTCACAATTTTTTGGAAAATGATGACATTAAATAAAAGTTAGAATTTTTTTCACAACTTTTTTTACATACCGTCACAAGTGCAGTACAGCGTCCTCATATGACTGGTATGGCAGTGATCAGGGATACTGACTGGTGACAGTATGTAAATAAATAAATACATACTTATCAATGATGATCACTACTATAAGCAATAGCTTAAAACTGTTATGAATGCCTTTCATTCATGACAGCTTGCTTAATATTGTGATGCTGTGATTGGCTACAGGGTTTCAGGAACCATGTGATAGCTGTTGGACAATCACAGCATCACAATAGTAAGCAAGCTGTCATGAATGATTTCCATTCATGACAGTTTTGCTTACATTGTAATCATGTGATCGATGTGACTGGTCATGACGATCACATGATACCCCAGCTGCTCACAGTGGTGGATACAGCGGTCACGGGACTGCACCGCAGCATGACCCAGGGGTGTGCCAGTGTGCATGTGGCCTGTGATGTACCAGTACGTTCTGATGCCTGCAATTGCCACCTGCTTGCAGTACATGTGCTGTGGGAAGGCAACAAGTGGTTAATCACCCCTTCCAGTGTTATATGATCTGTCTCATACATGTAAACTGATACATTCTGCTGGATAGCTTAAGCTTCTGATAAAAACAGACTTAATGCAAAGATCACCATTTGAAAATAGAAGAAAGCCTAAAAAAGAAAAAAACATATGCATCCATCACATCTATGAACTGGTAAGCTGCATTATAATAAATGTTTGCTTTTGGGTTTAATACCTTTTTAAAGCAAAAGCTGGTGGAAAAAAATGCTTTCTCAGTACGGAAGGTCTGCATGCAGTCAGTTCTTAGAATTCCAAGTGTATTTATATTTTTTTTACAAAAGTCATATGTTTTGAGAATCATACTTCACACTCACACTGAAAAAGCAGCTTCCTATTTTCTTTGAAGTTATGGTAATTTTTATCTAGACTTTTCAAGCATACAGTTAATTGTTAGATCCCGGAACAATAATATGTCAAAGTAAAACAACAGGAAAATAGCACTGCACCTCCTCTTTCAATTTTCCGAATCTATATGATTATTTCCAGCCAACTGATGAATCATTTTATATTGATTTAGGCAGTTTCATGATGACTGTGCTGCTTTTCATGTTATCCCAGCAAGCCGGGTGCAGCAAATCTCTAATTCTATATTCTTTTGTTGAAAGATTTTGAAACTGGAGCAGGCAATAATTGAACAGAGAAAGGAAATGAAACAACTCCAACATTTTTACTAAGACATGGTGGAAAAAAACGGCCGATTACAGGCAAAAATTGAAACCCACATGATAACAGCTCTGAGTGAACAAGATGTACTTTTAAACAAGCTGAATACGTTATTCTGTCGCTGACATGTCTTGAATTGTGATTTATTGTTTTTTGTCCGTTTGTGAAATTCATGTCAGAATCAAAATATATACAAAAAGTATACTCCTTGAAATTTTAGCCTTGACGTTAATATAAAAAAATATAATATAAATTAGAAGTATGAAAATGTGAGAATAAAGTGACACTAAATTCTATTCAAGAATCTAAAATCTATTCAAGTGTGTTCTTAACTAAAAAAGTCCATTCTATTGCTCTAAACCTCCTCTAAATTTTATATTTTTTCTGTTAGAGGGTAGGTATGTTTATTTTTTCCATGGTCCCACTCTATGTGAGAAACCTGGCTACCCTCTCATGCTGGCTCCTGAGATGGACTATGGTTTTGTAGTGTGCATAGAGCAGTGTCCTTGACGTAGTGTGTATAGAGCCGTTACCTGCAACTAACGTGCACTGCTTGTTCCAAAGGTGAGGACGGAAAAAGGAGAGGTTTGGAAGCTCACGGAGGAAGGAAAAAAAACACACTAAGAAACTATTTCTTGAACAATGGGCTACAGGGTGTACAGCATATAAGGGATGGGTCCTTGACAGGAGATACATTTCCACCACTATTTGGGTTGTAGCTGCTTTAAGGAAGAATTCATTTTTAGCACTCAGAGGTTCTCACCCATGCTGTTCCAGGGTAATCCTCTTGGAGAGGAGAGGACTGAATTACAGCATTCTTGGGACTGGTAAGTCCTCATTTTTGGACATGGAATTCGGAAGCTCAGAGAGACTTTGAGTGGGAAAGAACCTTCAAAACCTGACCACAGGGACTTTAGTCCTGAGAGGGTAACCCACCTGCAAGGGAGGCTTGAAAGGCAGCAGGAAGGAGTCAGCACCTATCTGCAAGGTGGTGCTGTGAGAGTGGACTGTCTGGAGGCTGAGACTCTGCTTAGCTCCTGTGACTTTTCCTAAACCCAGGTGTTGGTCTGACATTTCAGTGGTAAGCCATAATACTGCTTTCACTATACCAGCACTATGGGCTGTTTGTATTTTTCTTTGCTGGAGAAAGCTGCATAAATTCCCCAATTTATGAAGAAACAATAAAGACTGTTTTACTTTTACCAACAGATGCTTGGTGATCCTGAGCTCTGAATATTACCAGGGCCAATAAGTAGTGGAGTATAATATTATTGTTTAGTGTCACTTGAAGGAATACTTGAATTATTTGCAGATATAAAAAATTACTACACAAATATTACTGGGTGCTATATATACAAGGCAACCCTGATAAAAGCCTGATGGGTGAAGTAGGCTGGCCCAGTGTAATTATCAATGCCCCAACTCTGCCCATTGAACAGTTTAAATGCTACTAGTCCTAAAAGATGCACAGTGCCATTTTCTGGCTGTGTCTGTCTTTATTAATGAATCACTCACCAGGAACAAGCATGCAATATATAAAGTCAGAATTCCTGATTTGCATCTTTGCTCCAGGTCAGTTCTTCAGAAGCTTTTAAAGCATAATTAAACCCAAAAACATAAATGTAATATATTTCCGCTTTCCAGTTTTTGGTTTTGTGATGGATGCATTAGTTTTCTTTTTAAATAAATTTTCCTCTTTATTTTCACCTATGAAGTTACGAATAACACACTTTCTGTCACTTTGGGGTTTATTTACTAAAGCTGGAGAGTCCAAAATCAGGTTCACTTCTGCATAGAAACCAATCAGCTTCTAACCTCAGCTTGTTCAGTTAGGCTTTAGTAAATAAATCCTTTTGTGTCTACACTAATTTCTTCATGGATCTATGGAAGGAGCCATGGTTGTCATAGGCTGGACTTTAACCACAAGCCTACAGGGCACTTATACCCCCTTCCTGCCCAGGCCAATTTCCAGCTTTCAGCGCTGTCACACTTTGAATGACAATTGTGCGGTCATGCAACACTGTACCCATATGAAATTTTTATCATTTTTTTTGTGACAGATAGAGCTTTCTTTTGGTGGTATTTAATCACCTCTGGGTCTTTTACTTTTTCTTAAACAAACCAAAAACCACAGAAAATTTTGAAAAAAAAAAAGTTTTTTCTTAGTTTTTGTTATAAAATTTTGTAAATAAGTGATTTTGCTCCTTCACTGATGTGCGCTAATGAGGCTGTAGTGATGGGCACTGATAGGATGCACTAATGGACACAAATAGGTGGCACTGATGAGGAGGCACTGGTAGGTGGCACTGATGGGCATTGACAGGCATCACTGATGGGCACTGAAAGGCATCACTCATATATGGCACTGATGGGCGGCACTGATAGTCAGCACTAACTGGCACTGTTAGGTGGCACTGACTGACACTGTTAGGCGGCACTGATAGGCAGCACTGACGGGCACTGATAGGCTGCACTGATGCACACTGATAGGCAGCACTGACTGGCACTGACATATGTGGCACTGATATGTGATTGGCAGCACTGATAGGTGACACTGACTGGCACTGATGGGTGATACTAAAAGGCAGCTCAGATGGGCACTGATATGTGGTATAGATGTGGCACTGATGGACACTGAAATGTGGCACTGATGGGCACTGGAAGGTGGCATGGATGAGCATTGACAGCTGGCACTGATGGACACTGACAGGTGGCACTGCTGGGGCTACACAGATCATCAGTGCTCTGATGATCTATGTACATGTCCCCTCCGAGGAATGCCAATTACCGGCTCTCCTCTCCTCTCGAGCTGTCAGCGTGACAGCTCATGAGGAAAGAAATGCCGGTAACCGGCATTTCCCTGTTTACATGTGATCAGCTGTGATTGAACACAGCTGATCACATGACCAAGCCAACATCTTCGGCTCTTTCCGTTGATCAGTGATCCGCTGTGTCCGAGGGACACAGCACACCGCCGATCGCCGTGCTGTGCGCTCCCGGAGCCGTGCATGCTCGGTTAGAATGGGAGGACATCATATGACGTCCTCCCAGAACGAGAGAACCGCCTTGTGCCCTTCATTGTACTATATGGTGGGCGGGAGGCAGTTTAAAATGTCTGCCATTGTTTATCCCCATTACATGATAAATCAAAGGCATTAGTAGTTTTCTGTTTATGCTTCCTTTTTAGATGACAAGCAGTGATAAGTACAATGGAATCCTAGTAAGATCAACAGGTATTTTCTATTGCTGCTAAACATATTCTTAGCCAAAATAATAATGCAGCCACCAAGTGTAATGATTGTTAATCTGCAATATATAACATTTTCTTTTGGGTTTAGATACACCTTAAACCCCTGGTGCCAAACCTGTGGCCCGGGGGGCCGCATGTTGCTCTTTGGCGCTTTTTGTTCAGCCCTCTGGGCCCCTGTGGACACAAATCTGTGTTTCCCTATGGCCTTCCTCCAACAACTCCTGTAGCATGTTCACTGTCTCTGACCATTTCCTGATGGATATCTGCAGTCTCTGACCATATCCTGTATTATGTCCACAGTCTCTGACCATTTCCTGCATTATCTCTGTAGTCTCTGGCCATGTTCTGGTGTTTGTCTGCAGTCTCTGACCATATCCTGTTTTTATTTGAAGTCTCTGACTGTCTCCTGTAGTATTTCTGCAGTCTCTGACCATCTCCTGTAGAATGTTCGCAGTCTCTGACCATCTCCTGTAATATCTTTGCACTCTCTGACCATCTCCTGTACTATGTCCACAGTCTCTGACCATCTCCTGTAGTATGTCCGCAGTCTCTGATCGTCTCCTGTACAATGTCTGCAGTCTCTGACCGTCTCCTGTACTATGTATGCAGTCTGACCATCTCCTGTAGTATGTTAGCAGTATCTGACCATCTTCTGCAGTATGTCCGCAGTCTCTGACCATCTCCTGTACTATGTCTGCAGTCTCTGACCATCTCCTGTACTATGTCCGCAGTCCCTGATCATTTCCTGTAGTATATCTGCAGTTTCTCACCATCTCCTGTAGTATGTCTGCTGTCTCTGACCATCTCCTGTAGTATGTTCGCAGTCTCTGACCATCTCCTGTAGTATGTCCGCAGTCTCTGACAATCTCCTGAAGTATGTCCTCAGTCTCTGACCATCTCTTGTACTATGCCTGCAGTCTCTGACCATCTCTTGTAATATGTCTGCAGTCTCTGATGATCTCTTGTACTATGTCTGCAGTCTCTGACCATCTCCTGTAGTTTTTCTGCAGCCATCTCCAGTAGTATTCCTACAATCTAAATGATTGCTCACTGTGGACTGGAAAAAAGTTGTTAGATATCACATTTTGGTAAATTGATTGACAATGTTGCTGGATGTGGGCCTGTGATGTGACTCTTTGCTGCATGGGGCTATATCTGTGATATATGGGTATGTTACTCTACTATATGGGGATGTCTTTGCTGGATTTGGATGTCTATTTGCTGAACATATTGGTATGTCTTTTTTCTTGATGGGGGTATCCCTTTGCTGGATTGGGCTGTCTCTTTGCTGGATTGGGCTGTCTCTTTGCTGAATATATGGGGATGTCTGTTTGCTGAATATATGGGGATGTCTGTTTGCTGGATTAGGCTGTCTATTTGCTGGATTGGGATGTATATTTGCTCTATACATGGGGATGTCTATTTGCTGTATATTTGGAGCTGTATCTTTGCTTAGTATATGGGGATGTATCCTTGCTGCATTGGGATAACTTTTTGCTATATGGGGATGCCTTTGCTGAATTGGGCTGTCTCTTTTCTGAATATATGTGGATGTCACTTTGCTGGATTGGACTGTCTCTTTGCTGGATTGGGATATCTTTTTGCTGAATATACAGTATGGGATGCCTCTTTTCTCAATATATAGGGATGTCTCTTTGCTGGATTGGGCTGTTTATTTGCTGAATATATGGGACTGTCTCTTTACTGGATTGGGCCATCTATTTTCTAAATATGTGGGGGGTGTCTCTTTGCTTAATATATATGGGGCTGGTGACTTTTCATTTTCATATATTAAGTTGTAAGAGTGTTAAAATAAAAGTTGGTGCACTGAAGCATTCAGTGGGATGGTCAGTAGGAAAGTCCAGGGGAATGTTGGTGGCCAGCCCGACGGGGCCCAGGCCTACAGCTGGAAGAAGAACAATTTCCAAAATTTTGACAAAACTGAGTTTTAAAGAACATTTGTTTAGCTCATTACATGAAAGTACGGTTAATAATATTACTTAGATTACAAAATCTTCAGTTTTTAAAAAAAAAACTATTACATCTAGTATTTTGTATGACTTCCATGATTTGTAAGGATAGCACCAAGTCTTCTAGGCAAAGAATGAACAAGTAGGCAACATATTGCAACATCTATCTTCTTCCATTCTTCAGCTGGATGCTGGATAGACAGTGATGCTCAACTTGTCTCTTCAGAATTCCCCATAGGTGTTCGATTCGGTTCAAACCAAGAGACATACTTGTCCACTGAATCACGTTCACCCTGTTCTTCTTCAGAAATGCAACAGTGGCCTTAGATGTGTGTTTTGGATCATTGTCATGTTGGAAAAGTGTATGACGACCAAGGGTACAGAGTGATGGTAGCATCTTCTCTTTTAATATAGAGCAGTACATCTGTGAATTCATGATACCATCAATGAAATGCAGCTCCCTGACACCAGCAGAACTTATGCAGCCCCATAGAAGGACACTGGCACCACCATGTTTCAGTGTAGGCACCATGCATTTTTCTTTGTACTCCTCACCTTTACGACACCATACAGTTTTGAAGCCATCCGTTCCAAAAACATTTACCTTGGTTTCATCACTCCAGAGTACAGAGTCCCAGTTGTCTTCTTTTTCAGCATGGGCCCTGGCAAATTCTAGGTGGGATTTTTTGTGCATGAGCTTTAGGAAAGGCTTCCTTCGTGGATGACACCCATGATTGCCATTCTTCTGCACTGTATGCCGTATTGTATCATGGAAAACAATCACCCCAGTTTGGCTTTTTACTTCTTTAGCTAACTGCAGTGAACTTGCATGGCGAGTTAATTCAATCCTTCTCATCAGAAGACGCTCCTGTCAAGGTGTTAACTTTTGTGGACAGCCTGGACATATCTGTGAGATGGTTGCAATTATATCTGTGTTACATTTTTGTATAACTTTTGCTACAGTATTTTGACTGATAAGTAAAGCTTTGCTGATCTTCTTGTAGCCTTGATCTTTCTTGTGTAAACAAATTATTCTCTTTTTCAGGCTTTGTGACATTTTGTTCCATGTGGTACCATTGCTGACAGCATGAAATGGTTTTCTTTATTAACCGTTTCCCGTCCACCCTATAGCTGACGTTCTGCTACAGGGCGGCATGGGTGTGCAAAATCATGTATATATACGTGATTTTGCATTTCCAGGTAGGGGGCGCGTGCAAGGTGTTGTATATGTAGATCACACGGTATTGTCACACACTAGGTAGATCACATTGTTATGTCATGTACCATTACCAGTGTGAGCCAGGAGGGATGTATTATAAATAATATTGTTTTATTATGTACAAAATAAAACGGTATTATTTAAAAAAAACTTTAAAGGCTGTATATATGGGTTCTCAAAATCCCCATTAAATCTTGGTTTCATTAAATTCTGTAACCAATGGATGTTGATTTCTTGATACAATTCCTATATTTGCAGAACCATTCATGCATTCATGTGACTCCCCCCCCCCTACACACACACACACACACACACCTTCCTTGTTTCCTTGTTCTTATGCATGTTTATGATGTTAAACTTTAACATAGCAACAGATGTATGCATTTACAAGGATATCCCACTTTCTACAAATGAATACTTAACATCCTTAAGAGGCGGCACCGAATAGTTTGCCATTGTTAAAGAGTGGCCCCCCTTCAGACCATATCTGCTTTATGGTTTCAAGGTTTTTATCTCAAAATTCTAAGATAGCCCTCTTTGATAGAACACGTGCTTCAAATGACCCAAAATAATAATTATTTATATATTCATATATTTCAAGGTTAATTGCGGCTGTGGAAGTAGCAAACATAGCTGGTTTACATTAAGAAAAGGGCCAAGACCAGGATGCCAAAACTTGTCAAGGAAAACAGTGATTGTTTAAGATTGCATTAACACTCCGTTGTATAAAGAATGTGAGAAACCAAAGTGTTTTCTTGAGAAAATGCAGTTAAAGGTATGTTTAATTGAATAAAGTAGAGTATGAGAACAAATGCAAGGCCATTGATAATGGGCTCTGCGGAATTTTGTATTACTGAAAAGCAGTATCTTCCTTTGTTGTACCTCAGTCTACATTGAAACAGCACTAGAATTTTTGTAAAGATGGCAATACGGCGTGTTATGTAAAACAATGTAACTAGTAAAATATTTGTAGTCCTTTGACCTTGTTCTATTTCTCATGCGCCCTCAGAAAAGTCTAAGCGAAGTTTTAATGGCTCTGGGTCAAGCAATTATTCAAAATAAATCTTCATATTGTCATCATTTTATAAAGCCAAGGCCAACAGAACCTTACACAGTAATGTCTACTGTAGATGGAAGCTAGGTTGCCTGAATTAATAAAGCTATGACGCCAAATAAAGACAAAATCAATATTTACTTTCAATGATATTATCATTTGCAAATACGATGTCAGAAGAGACTGCAACACATTGGCTGAATTTCTGTACATTCCTTTTCAAAGAAATTCCTTTCTAACTTGGAATGCTTGCTTTGGGTGCTTACTTTTGACAAATAAGCTGGCAATACACCAGTAAAATGGTTAAAAAAAATTATTGCTTTCAGAACTTTTTATTTTTTAATGGTTAATGGGGTCAAATACTTTTTTACTGTAGAGTCATGAAAATTGGAAGCAATGGGATGGGATATTTTTTCTCGAACGAATAACATTCTAACTGTGATTCTCGTTCAGGAAAAATTGTGCATATTGTAATGCG